CCTGTCCCTGTGCCCTGTCCCCTGTCCCCTGTGCCCTGTGCCCTGTCCCCGTGTGCCCTGTGCCTGTGCCTGTCCCCTGTCCCCTGTGCCCTGTGCCCTGTGCCCTGTGCCGCCTGGAGAAGCCAGAGTGACCTTTGCACAGTGTAAAACCAGGCCCATGACTCCGTTTCCCGAAGCTTCCCCTCCCTCCTAGGACACAAATCTTAAAGGAAAAGAAACATCTATTTATTACTTATTTTTATTGATTTCAGAGAGGAAGGGAGAGGGAGAGAGATAGAAACATCAATGATGAGAGAGAATCACGGATCAGCTGCCTCCTGCTCACCCCCTACTGTGGATCGAGCCTGCAACCAGGGCATGTTCCCTGCCCGGGAATCGAACCCGGGACCCTTCAGTCCGTAGGCTGATGCTCTACCCACTGAGCCGCACTGGCTAGGGCCTGATGGAATCCTTTTTAATCCCCATTTTATATCTATGGGAACCGAGGTTAACGAGGAAAAACAAATCGGTGAGCGTCTCCCCAGGGGCCAGGTTTGAACGACGCTGAAGCCCAGGTTCCGTCCTCCTCTTCATGAAGGAGCTTCACATCACTGTCCCAGCACTCTCCTCGCTCAGCGGGTCACTCCGAGTGCCCGGTGGCCGAGGACTGCCTGCGTTGCCTTCCAGGAGTCTTGGGGCCTTTGGCCTATTTCTCAGGAAGCGGCCCGTCCATGAGCGGACAGAGGTCCATCGTCTGCACGGTGTCTTCTCGGCGCACGCTCTGCGCCTGGGACGTGCGGGCGGTGAGTCTGCGAGGAGCACACGGCCGCGCCCCTGAGGCCACCCTGTCCGAAGGCGAAGCCGGAGCGGGGAGGGCGGGCCCCCGATTGGCAACAGGAAGTTTCCAACCAGGTCTTCTAACCGTAACTCACTACCCTTCCCCTAGACCAGTGACGGCGAACCTTCTGAGCTCGGCGTGTCAGCGTTTGAAAAACCCTAACTTAGCTCTGGTGCCGTGTCACATAGAGAAATTTTTTGATCTTTGCAACCATAGTAAAACAAACACTTATATTTTTGATATTTACTTTATATATTTAAATGCCATTTAACAAAGAAAAATCAACCAAAAAAATGAGTTCGCGTGTCACCTCCGACACGCGTGTCATGGGTTCGCCATCCCTGGCTTAGACTATAGCACGCAGAGAATTCACTTTGTAAATTCCCACCCTCCCCTGAGGATGTTTTTTCCGTTGATTTATTTTTATTTTTTTAGAAAGAGTGGAAGGGAGAGGAAGGGAGGGAGAGAGAAACATCCATGTGAGAGAAACATTGATGGGTTGCTTCCTGCACGAGCCCCGACCAGGGCCCGGGCCGGGGGGGAGCCTGCACCGAGGCGCGTGCCCTTGACCGGATCCAGCCCGGGCCTTTCGGTCCGCAGGCCGACGCTCTACCCACTGGGCCACACCGGCCAGGGCTTCGCGACTCCTTCTGTTCACGACCCTCACGCAGCTGAGATGCAGCAGAACTTTCTTAATTCTGTTCCTGGAAAAAAAGACACCTGGTTTGGGGGAAGCTTCAAATAAGCAGGGGCAGGACCCCGGGCAGGACCCATGCCCCCGGGGGAGCGCCCCCAGAACAGGACCCCGAGCAGGACCTGTGCCCCCGGGGGAGCGCCCGCAGAACAGGACCCCGAGCAGGATCCGGGGCCCCCGGGGGAGCGCCCCCAGAACAGGACCCCGAGCAGGACCTGTGCCCCCGGGGGAGCGCCCCAGAACAGGACCCCGAGCAGGACCTGTGCCCCCGGGGGAGCGCCCCCAGAACAGGACCCCGAGCAGAACTCATGGCCCCGGGGGGAGCGCCCCCTAAACCGCCCGCGCTCCCCTCCAGGGCTCTCTGATCTGGTCCAGCCCCGCCCAGCAGGCCAACATCAGGTGCCTGGCCACCCTGCCGCCGCGGTCGCTGGCGTTCACTGTGGACAAGGAGGAGACCGTCAAGGTGTGGAACTGCCAGGACGCGGAGCCCCTGGCCGCGCGCAGCATGCCCAGGTGCTGCTGCTCCTTGGAGGCCTTCCTCGCGGACGACGGCCCCGTCCTCCTGGTGAGCGAGCTGTGCCCACGGCACCCACGGCGCCCACGGCGCCCACGGCCTGGGCAGGTGTTGGGCCCCCTGACGCCCCCGTCACCTCCCAACCTGCCTTCTTCTCTTTCTTTTTTTTTTTTTTTTCGAGATTAAACCCTTATCAGATACTAGACTAGAGGCCCGGATGCACGAAATTCGTGCGAGGGGCTTGGGGCCCTCGCAGCCCCGGCTTCGGAAGGATGTCCGGAAGGACGTCGGATGGTCGTTGGGCTGTCTGGTCTAATTAGCATATCACGCTTTTATTATTATAGGTAATGCTGGCAAATACGTTCTCCCATGCAGCCGGCTCTCTTGTTTCGTTGGTTTCTTTTGCTGAGCAGAAGCCTTTTATTTTGATGGAGTCCCATTTGTCACTTTCTCCTTGGTCTCCATTGCCCTAGGCCAGAGACAGCGAACCTTCTGAGCTCGGCGTGTCGGCATTTTGAAAAACCCTAACTTCACTCTGGTGCCGTGTCACCTATAGAAATTTTCTGATATTTGCAACCATAGTAAAACCAAGACTTATATTTTTGATATTTATTTTATATATTTAATGCCATTTAACAAAGAAAAAACAACCAAAAAGATGAGTTCAGAGGTGACACGCGTGTCATAGGTTCGCCATCACTGCCCTAGGGAGCTGTGTCTGTAAAGATATTGCCACACACACGCCTGCTCTTTTGCTGCCTCTGGATGATTCTAAGGTGTTTATGGTTTCCCGTCTTACATTTAAGTCCTTTATCTATTTTGAGTTTGTTTCTGTGTGTGGTGTAAGTCGGTGGTCTAGTTTCTTTTTCTTTTTTTGCATGTATCTGTCCAATTTTCCCAGCACCATTTATTGAAGAGACTGTCTTGACTCCATTGTATGCTCTTGCCTCCTTTGTCAAACATTAATTGAGCGTAATGGCTTGGCTCGATTCCTGGGTTCTCTGGTCTGTTCACTTGGTCTATGTGTCTGTTCTTGTGCCAGGACCAGGCAGTTTTGAGAACAGTGGCTTTGTAATACAGCTTGATATCTGGTATTGTGATCCCTCCAACTTTGTTCTTCTTTCTCAGGATCGCTGTAGCTAATCGGGGTCTTTTTTTTTTATTCCAGATGAATTTTTGGAGAGTTTGTCCTAGGTCTGTGAAATATGCCATCGGTATTTTAATGGGGATTGCATTGAATCTATTTTTTAAAAAATATATTTTATTGATTTTTCACAGAGAGGAAGGGAGAGGGACAGAGATTTAGAAACATCGATGAGAGAGAAACATCGATCAGCTGCCTCCTGCACACCCCCCACTGGGGATGTGCCCACAACCCAGGTACATGCCCTTGCCCGGAATCGAACCTGGGACCTTTCAGTCCGCAGGCCGATGCTCTATCCACTGAGCCAAACCGGTAGGGCTGAATCTATTTTTTTAAAATATATTTTTATTGATTTTAGAGAGGAAGGGAGAGGGAGAGCTAAACATCAATGATGAGAGAGAATCATTGATCGGCTCCGCCTCTTGCACACCCCACAGTAGGGATCAAGCTTATAACCTGGGAAGTGCCCTGACCGGGAATCGAACCGTGACCTCCGGGTTCATAGGTTGATGCTCAACCACTGAGCCATGAGTCAGGCATTTTTTTCTTTTTGGAAATCCTCACCTGAGGATATTTTTCCCATTGACTTTTTTAGAGAGAGTGGAAGGGAAAGTGAAAGACAGAGGGAAATATCGATGTGAGAGACACATCGATGGGTTGCCTCCCGCACCCACTCCCACCAGGTCCGGGAACCTGCAACCGAGGTACGTGCCCTTGACTGGAATTGAACCCGGGAGCCTTCAGTCCTTGGGCCGGATCTCTATCCACTGAGCCACACCAGCCAGGCTCCCCCTGTGCTCCTGAGGCATCTGTTCTCGCCTCCTCTGGAGCCGCACAGACCGTTACACCCCTTGGCCCTTGTCATGCCTCAGGCCCCTTTGCTCAGCTCTGAAAGCAGAGACCAGGGTGATGTTACATCGAGTGTCCTCCTTCCAGTGTGTCTTGTTGGAGGACGTGAACTTGGACAGGGGTCACGTGGGGAGAGACATTGAGAAAAAGGGTGCTGGGGCTTAGGACACCGTGTTCCCTGGGATCCTCCCAGGACCCCGTGGGGCAGGCTGGTCAGAGAGTTCACCTCCTCTCGGCGACTGAAGAAATGGTGGCACCGCCCTGGCCGGGTGGCTCAGTGGATAGAGCACCAGCCTGTAGGCAGAAGGGTCCCGGGTTCAATTCCGGTCCAGGGCACACGCCTGGGTTGCGGGCTCCATCCCCAGTGGGGGGCGTGCAGGAGGCAGCCGATGGATGATTCTCTCTCATCGTTGATGTTTCTATCTCTCCCTCCCTCCCTCTCCCTTCCTCCCTGAAACAAATAAAAATATTTTTTAAAGAAAGAAAGAAATGGTGGCCCCGCCCACCCCGCCTCCCCCCCCCCGGGCTCTGGGGTCTCCTCCCGTGACGGGCGGGCGGTGCTCTGTTGCAGGTGGGCGATTCCGAAGGGGACATCTACACGCTGACGGTGCCGGCGCTGGCGGTCGTGTCCCTCGTGAAGGCGTTGGACTACGGCGTGGAACTCCTGCACTGCTCGCCCAACAGGAAGTGGGTCTTCGCCTCGGGGACCCACCCATACATGCGGCCCAAGGTAGGGCCGCCCGGTGCTCGGCCGCCGCCTCGGAGGGTCAGGTGAGGGGTGGAGGAGGAGGGTCCCGGCCCGGAGCTCGGCCAGGACCGGACGGCCACCCCCTCGAGGCCCAGCACACGCGGCCTCCGTTCCTGGAGCAGAGACGCTGTCCTGGGCGCAGCATCCCCTTCACAGGGACGGACGGACCTCGTGCGTGAAAATGGGCGCCTGGGGCCTGGTCAGCCCGGGATGGAGGAGGGGGCGCGACAGGAGGGAGGGCCTGGCCCCGCCGGGTTGGCTCAGTGGGTGGAGCCCTGGCCTGTGCCCGTGACCAGAATCGCACCCGGGACCCTTTGGTCTGCAGGCCGATGCTCTCTCCCTGAGCCTCGCCCGTCGGGGCGGCTGGGCGAGCGTGTGGCTGGGCCCCAGGGAGCTAAGGGAGGCGCAGTGACAGCAGATCAGCCCCTGGCAAGTCTCGGAGGAAGGGGACCTGCCGCAACCTGGGTGGGGCCCAGGGCGGCCGCATGGAGACCATGGGAGGGGGCGTGGGGGACTCGAACCTGGGGGACCCTTCAGTCCGGAGGCCGACGCTCTAGCCACCGAGCCACGGCCCCGGGCGCGCAGTGGAGGGTTTTGAGGAGGGTTTCCTGGCGTCGCTGCTGCACGGACACGGCAACCCCCTCGCCTGACCCCGTGCACTGGCCTCCCCACAGGTGTTCTCGGCCGAGGGCCTGCTGAGGCCCGGAGGCAGCGCCCCCTCGAGCGTCTCTCTCCCGTTCACATTCTGCAGCCAAGCCTGCTGGGCCCTGAAGTGCGCCAACAGGGTGGCCGTGATGTTCCAGAGAGGGTCCGGCAGGAGGACGGGGTTCGGCACCTTCGACCTGGCAGCGAAGAGCCCTGGGGGCAGCGCGGTCCTGGAAGGTGGGCCCCGGCGCCTCTGCAGGGCGGGGCTTTCTTAGCTGAGGCCTGTCTGATTCATTGTTATTTTAAAAATATGTTTTCATTGATTTCAGAGAGGAAGGGGGAGGGAGAGAGAGAGAAACATCCATGACGAGAGAGTAATGGATGGGCTGCCCTCTGCACGCCCCCCGCTGGGGATCCAGCCCACAGCCTGGGCCTGGGCCCCGACGGGAATCAAACCACAAGCTCCTGGTTCCTCGGTCGATGCTCAGCCCCTGAGCCCCGCAGGCCGGGGAGTTTATCTTTTCATTCAGGGTCAGGAGGTGGTTCTGACGACACGACCCAAAGTCTGCCTGGTTGTGTGTTTCCCCCGAAAACAGCCCGTCAGATCGCGGCCTTCATGCTGCCGGACGAGATGGAGGGCCCGCTCCGGATGGGGGTCCGGGACGGAGACACCATCATCTTTGAGAGCGGGCCATACCTGTTCCTCTTCTCCATCCACGGCCACCTGGTGCATCGATTCAGCCACCACCAGAACGCCATCTGCTCCTTATGGGTGGTGCGTACGCCCTCCTCCCGCCGCGCCGGCTCCGGCGGGGGCGCCGGCTCACCCTGGCCCTCCTCCCCAGGACTCGCTCCACGTCCTCACCACGTCCCTGGACAACTACCTGCATCTGTACATGTGGGAGGAGGGAGGCCGCGACGCAGGCCTCCAGAGCTGCTGCCACCTGGAGCAAAGGCCGGGCGACCCCACGCCCAGCTGGTGAGCCCTGCTCGGCGATGACTCTTCCTCTCGATTTCAAATGTCTAGTTAAGCGAATTAACAAGGGGCCCTAGAGTTTAAACAGAAAAGATTCTTTGCCCTGGCCGGCGTTGCTCAGTGGGTAGAGCGTCAGCCTGCGGACTGAAGGGTCTCGGGTTCGATTCCTGGTCAGGGCACAGGCCCAGGTTGAGGGCTCGATCCCCAGTGGAGGAGGCAGCCGATCCATGATTCTCTCTCATCACTGGTGTTTCTCTTTCTCCCTCTCCCTCCCTCTCTGAAATCAATAAAAATTTAAAAAGAAAACAAAAACCCCACCGTAGGCCTGCGTCCCCTCCCGCCCCCTGAGGGTGCTGTGCTTCCTTCGGCAGCTACTACTCCCGGGCGATCTGCGACAGCGCCAGCATCGTGTGTGTGGTGTCCAGGACCCTCGAGGCCAGCGTCCTGGTGATGTACTCTTTGGACCCGTGATTCGGCGACGAGTGCGGCCCACCTGGCATCGACTTCCTCGCTGTAGTAAAGAGAGTTCTATTTGCAAACCCAGAATGATTCGTTAGTGATAGTGGACACAACAGCAGTAACTTACCGATCAGGAATCCGACGCCCGACAGGTACACAGGTCGCACACCAGGAAGACGGAGGGTGGGAGCCGTGCCCGTCGCCCGTGCCTCGGGGGGAGGGGAAACCGCTAAGGTAGCGGAACATGAATGGCCACACAACACACCATCCCAGACAACCCCGCCGGGGCATCTGATCAGGAAAGGGCGGCTTCAGGTTGAGGCTGGTTACAAGGGAAGGCGCCGGTGTCAGGGTGTCAGCGTCCTTGCCTGTAAGCAGCCAAAACTAAGTCCTGTGGAACGTAAGCCAAAGGAGGTTCATTAGAAAAATGGAAATTCAAAAATATATATATATTTATTGATTTCAGAGAGGAAGAGAGAGGGAGAAAGAGACAGAGAGAGAGAGAGAGAGAGACATCAATGATGAGTGAGAATCATGGATCGGCTGCCTCCTGCACGCCCCCGACTGGGGATCGAGCCCCCAACCCGAGCATGTGCCCTGGACCGGAATCGAACCCGGGACCCTTCGGTCCACAGGCTGATGGCTCTATCCACTGAGTCCAACCGGCCAGGGCGAAAAATACAGAGGTTGACATCGACATGTAGCCTGAAGAGACTCAGAACACACGTGGGGCTGAGAAATGGAAAACGCGTCAAAGGCTCCATCGCGGGAATGTCCCCACGGGAATGGATCTGTGTCACCAGCTCAGGATTCCGAGTCCTGGAGCGGCTCCCAGCGAATCAAGCCTAAAACCCGGGGTCTCCTCTCCTGACTTTGGGGGCGGGGGTTGGGAGGACGACGTCTGAGGGGTTAGAGAGGGTCTAGTGGAAGTGTGGTCCCCATGGGAGGCTCCAAGAGCCTGTGGGTGTCCAAGCGGAGTGCCCGCCGTCCCCTCCTAGAAACCAGCTGGACGCGGCGCCCAGGGGGCGGGAGGAAGGCCCGGGAGGGTCTGCGGGGAGGGCCCGCGGGTGGAGGGGCGGCTCCGAGCCCGACTGGCTGATTCAGAACCGAGGGAAGTCTGCGGCTGGAGCCGGTGGCCAGGAGGAGACACGAAGACCAGGCGAAAAGTCAGAAAGTGTCGACTCGCAGACATTTGCAGGATGTAACTCACACTTAACACATATTAGGTGCGATGGTGAGATTGTTTTGTTTTGTGTGTTTTTTTAGCAAAGGAGCAGAAAGACCCGTATTTTCTAGGCCTAGGCTTTTCAGAAGGCGTTCTCATCGCCATTTAGAAAACGGATGTAAAAGTCGTCGTGGAGCCCTGGCCGGTGCGGCCAGTTGGTTGGCATCGCCCGGGCGCCGGAAGGCGGCCGATGCCCCCCCAGTCAGGGCGCAGGCCTGGGTCGCGGGCTCCATCCGGCGGAGGCGGGCGGTAGGCAGCCCATCGATGTTTCTCTCTCCCTTCCTCTCTCTAAAGTCAATAAAAACATATTTTAAAAAAGAAAAAAAAGTAGCCATAGTGACTGAAGAGAGCCAGTTGAACCATTTTCTTTCTTTAATATGTTTTTATTGATTTCAGAGAAGAGGAGAGAGAAACATCCGCGATGAGAGAGAGTCATGGATGGGCTGCCTCCTGCACGCCCCGCACTGGGGATCCAGCCCGCACCCCGGGCCTGTGCCCAGCCGCGGGGTGGGGCGGGGTGGGGCGGGGGTGGCGCACACATCTGGGCGCGCGGGGAACGGGGGTCATTCTGTCTCAAGTGCACGTATCAGCC